GCGAAGACGGGAAAGAGGCCCCCTCCCCCTTCCAAGTCCTCCATTAATTCATTTTCTCAGCAGTAAAGAATTCAGTTCAGCAACAAAGCTAAAAGCTTTTTTGGCACCAGTTGTATGTGTATTGTCCAGTAATTCTGCATTAGTGACATATTTACAACCTATAATAAATCTCTTAGGTTTGTCTTTATATTCCATTTAGATGCATGACTACGGTATAGAAGGCCGCTATCTCGAAAATTCTGCTGACTGAAAAAAATCAGATCATTTAGCCTGAAGAAAAAATAGAAATCAAAACTTACAGCTCCCCATTTTAATTCCTGTATAAATGAAAATACTAAATCTGGGCAATCGTAAAATACTTAGCATAAATGTAATCCTTCCTAGGCAGTGGAACAGAAGATAGGACTGAAAAATGTGGAAAGCTAGCCTGAAAAACAAGAATACTTCTATTTTTAATTTGGTGAGGTTTTCAGTAGCCTAGACTGTATCATATTAAAAAAATGGATCACTTAATATTTCATGAGCTTTCAGTCAGTTTCTCGTTCCTCCTATATTATATAGTGTCTGAATATTGTGTTAATTTAGTGATACTAAAAGATAAATTTTATCTATTTTGCTGTGGATATTTTATGCTGGTATTTTACTTCACAATTGCCAGTCCTTCTAAGCCTGAAGAATGAGTGAATTATCATAGCCTAGATTCTTAACCAGTTCTTGTTTCCTTTTACAAGTATCAAGGTGAATGAATGCATATTCCTTCCTTCCAAGAGCACTGTGATGTTCTCATTCATGTGGAAAGGGAGTAAAAAAAAAGACTGCTCTGTGGTGACTGTTTTGTTTTTAGAATTGCTCTCCCTGTGTACATACAGGGAATACACAGAGATTCAAACTGTATTAATAAAACTCACATTTGAGCTATCAGAGTTCATTTCTTTTGTCACGTTGACATTTGTCAGCTCCTTTTTCCCAGGTTGATACATGTAGGTTTGCCATCTGTTCTCATTAGCTGTCTCAGTCACCAAAGAAATACTATAGTCTATCATGATTTCAGACCCTGTAAAGCTCTCCTCATTAAAGCTGTGGTTTTGATACAGAAAGATGGGGCAACAGTTTCTTATAATGGTCAACTGAAGAGTTGAAAATCAGTTCTGTCGCGTAGGTCTCGTAACTTTTGTTCCAGATTCAAGGAGCTGTCAATGGTTGTGTGAGAAATGTGTGGGTTGCACAATATCAACATTTATTTAGTTAGCAGTATCCATAAATGTTCTGTTAATCCACATTTATAAGCCAGGTATTGGGTAGAGCACTATATATATATGTGTGTATGTATACATACGTTACTGTTGTTTGTATTACACCTAGAGTTGAAGGCCATATTAAGCTAAATATGTAGTCATGAAATACATCAACCAAACTTACGTATTTTACACAACTACTGTAAGTGGCCCCTCTAGTCAGTGGAGAGAAGCAGGCAGTTAACAGAGGGTAATTCCTGTATTAGAGGTGTTCAGTTTTGCAATTTGCTTTACTGATTGCAGAAGTAGAGGAGAAGGAGTAGGCACATAAATGAGACTGTAAGCTAGGAGGGTATGCTTAGGTGAGGCTGAATCCAAGTCATGCTTTGGTCAAAAAATCCTTAGACACCAAATGACTGTGGGAGGCTAAGATGGCAAGAAAATATCCACTTTATGGAATGGCAGTGGAAATGAGCATTTTTTAATTATTATTATTGTTTATGGTCATAAAAAGAAACTTCTGGTACAGCTGGAAATTCATCAGGCTGCCTTAAACAGGTTCACTGATAAGCTCCCTTGACCATTTCAGGATCTTAACCACAAGAGTTCTGTGTAGTTGCGTGTATAATGCTCGTAACATCTTTGATTTTGAGTTAGATGCTTTGTGGCTTTGCTTGGACATGCTGAATTTTCTTTTTTTTATTAGACAGTAGTCAGGCAGTACAGTTCATATAATGACATTTCTCTAAGTATGTCAAATCCAAATACCATTTTGCCATCTTTACGTAGGCCAAATTGAGTTCAGTACTTTGTTTTCTAACTTTGCTTGCAAGAACAATTCTCATCCCACTGTCAATTAGACACAATCTTCATCTCTGTAGGACTTCATGTTCCTATGAAAGTGGATGTCATGCAGGTTAGGTACCTGTGATGGAAAATCTGCTAAAGGAGAAGCCTCAAGTTTGCAGAAAGACATTTGCAAACAAGAGCTTTGTACATATATTTAAATGATATTTTTCTAGGTATCGTAGAATTGTACAGTGTGGAAAGCTTTTACTCACTGATTTCATTTTAACAGCAATTTTTGGAGAATGGTGTGAAATATACTTTTCCTTTTTTTTCTTCCCCCCCCCTAGGAGAGAGTAAGAACATACATGAACAGGGTCAAAGAAATAGCAGAAAAGAAAAAGGCATCCAAACTTGATAAAGGAGCTGCTTCTAGATTTGTAAGAAATGCACTCTGGGAACCAAGCGCTGAAAACGAAAAGAAATCCAAAGGTCCTGGTAAAGGAAAAAAGAGAAAAATGGACTAAATTTTTGTCTCCCCTTATATAAATTAGAGACACCTAGGAATTTGCCTTGAAATGTGTTCTGCATACTGCATGCACCTTGTGGAGGTGCTGTATAGCAACATCTTGCTTAAGTTATAGGTAAGAATTTTTATAGGATTGTATTTCGTCCAGAACGCTTGTCGCTCACGTGATCACATTCTATGTGTATCTAAAAGTGCCATTTGATGCAAGAGAGGTAACATTTCATTATTGAAATGACAATGACCTGACATCGGCTCGCTGGTAGTACATACTAGTGATGTTTTTTACTGTTGAATGATTGACACTTTTTTACATGTCCTTAATGTGAATATTAAAAAGTCTCAACCAATGCTATCTAGTCTGTGGTGTTTATGAATGGCCGTGTTTTCTTTCTCATTACATCATTATGTTAAATGCTGTACTAGTAGATTTGTAAGATTTATCCACTCTGTTAAACTGTTTCTTTTTCAGCTTCTGAACTTGAAGATTTGCCATATTCCTTTACTTCTGTTGTCTCTCAGAAAACCGAGTTTCAGGGGCCACAAGCAAACAGCCTGTATTCCACTTTAAGCCACGATGTCCAGCCAGTGGAAAAGAAAAGATATCCCCAAAGGGCAATCTGTGGGGTCCAAAAAAAAGGAGCAGACTGGGGACAGCTATTAGAAAACAGCACATGCAGGAACTTGATTGGAATTTTGGCTGCAGTGCTCATCCTTTGCTGCTGACACAGTGAGAGAGAAAAATATGCTCAGAGGCGGTAGGAGTGTGGTCATCCACTGCTGTTTCTCAGAACTTCATCAGGGAAAGCGCTCTGTGGTACAATAAATACTACTACTGTGTCTTACAAGTATTCTGTATGTTTTCCTCAAAAGGTGTAGTCATTTTGGAGAGGAGTGTGTTAAGTTTCTTCGGAAGAACCTCAGTAGTTGATTTTTTTCAGTATACTGCAGAGCAAAACTCAATTATCTGCCCAAAAACTATTTAGCAATTAGCAGCGACTCTCTACTTACGAAAGGAAATACAGGAAAAGGAATGAAAAAATAAGCAATTAAGTCACCAAAATGTAGTTTGGGTAGCAGTCTACAAAAGTGGTTGAGAAATATTGTTAGTGTGAAAGACTAAAGGACAAGAACAAATGAATCCAGTTTATCTACAGCTGAATGATGTGCAGTGGATGGTTACTGACACTACAGAGTTGTACTGCATCATGCAGTGTAGAATATGGACTAAATTGAATCAGGTGCTAAAGTGAAGGTTCTTTTGTCACTGACTACCTAAAAATATGCATTTGAAAGTAAAAGTTCGACACATTTATTTGAGTTTATTAAACTCAATTTATGCATATCTCTAGAAACTTTTTCAGTGACTGGTATGAATTTACTAATTTTTGTTTATGATAAACTCTGAATAAATAGTAATTCCTTCAATCCATCTAACGAGAACCTGCTAGTATATATGTTCGTGTACGTACGGCACTTTTATGCATTAGATCTACAGGACTCCTCGTGTAAGTATGCATGTCAAAGACCCATAAACATTTGCCAGCTGAAAGCTAAAATTAGAATGCTTTATTTCTACAGGTTAATGTCATGGTTATGCTAAATGAAAGAGCTTTTGGAATCAGGAGGCTTTTTTTGTGCAATTGCGATTAAAAATGTGAAAGACCTGAAGAGTATCCTAGGCCAAAGATAGCAATACATGTGTAAAGCAGTTCTTGGTGTGCTCCAGAGGTTTGGACAGAGATTAATTAGAAGTCTGTGTGTCCTGTCTTGTACCTTTTTCACCCTGATACTGAAAACGACAGCTGTAGGCTATTACAAACAGACTTCTGGACTTTGTGTGGATGTAGAGGTCTGCATGTGCAAAGCATGAGGTTCAAAATGTTAATCTCAAAAACATCAACGTGAAAAAAGGGCAGGTGTCCTATGAACTAATCGGGAAGACAAAAGGATAGAAGTGGTCTGGAGTGGCACAAGCCAGAGCACTTTAATGTAGAATTTTTCTGAGAGATAGTGTCTTATGCTTTGAGAAGCATTGTCTTGAGGAAATGAGTAGCTCAGCTTGTATTTACAGTGCTGTTAATTAAAAGTGGATTGAAGGACATTTCCATTACATGGTTTTCCTCTTAAGCTTCAATTATAGCTTTTGTTTTAAAAGGATAATTTCTAAAAAGGATCATAATTTAGTGTCCAGGAAAGTACACAGGTTTCCTAAGTAAATGTTTAAACAAGAATAATGCAAGGCTGTTAGCTAAGACTTACTGAGGTAGAAGTCCATTTGGTATAATTAATTTTATACAGGTATTTGGCATTTGTAATAGGGCAGTTTAAATAGATGTAACAAATGCAACTTTGTAAAGACTTTTTTTTTTAAGGTTTGTATCTTTCAGTGTGGATTTGTGGCTTTGCTTTTCTAGAAAACAACCCAGACAAATGCCCCACAAACTAAGAAGTGTTACTACCTGTTATTCGCTAACAGCCCTATTAGGTAAGAGGTTTGAAATACAAGATCATGAATGCCAAGTGTTTTTTGTATCAAGTATTCTTGGAACATCTGGACTGAGGTCTCCAATGTGAAATGACTGAACACTGTGGAAGTTCCTGCCTCAAAATAGGATGCTGGCAAGAAGAACATGTATTGCAGTATCTGTGTGCATTAAACCTATATGAGCCACAGTTGTAGAATGGTTCTACAGGGCCGGAAAGGAAAGGAAAACATCTGGGAGACTTCCAGTCCCATTGGTGTACGTGCTGAATATGGTGCAGAAATAGCAATTCTGCGTTAGTTAATGCCAATGTAATGCAAAGAGTTGCTATAATGGTAAGTTGTTAGTATCACTGAATTAAAGTATTAATGAATGAAGATATTTAAAGAAAAAAAGTGTGTGTGACACCTCCCTGCTTTGTCTTGATTTTGCTATAAATATATTATGGGCTAACTAATATTAGACATACCAGCTAAGAGAAGCACTAACAAAACTGCTGTTTCTAAGAATGTTTTATACTAATCAGTAAGAAAATGAAGTAAAACTCTTAAGTTATGGTAGAAATATACATGTAGTTGGACTGACTAGAGCTAATCAATGATGCCAGAATTTGAAGGCTTTGTATTCTGGTTTTTAAGTCAGAAGTGAAAATAGTTTTCATTTTCTTAAAGATTGTGTTTTGATACATGCATTTAATGTGTTACCTGTTCTTGGAACTTTCCTTGTTTTCTGGTCTTTGCACCAAGAAAGTGATGAGGTTGGCAAGAGCATGTGAAGCTAGCATCCATAACTAGAATTTGATACAAGGCTGCATGGGGAATTTTCCAATCTTACCAAAAGAATACTTCAGAAGATAAGTGAAAATGCAACTCAAGATTTTAAGCCCCAGTAGTGTGGAAAACCTCTCTCTCTGACAGAGTTTACTGTGGCTGCAAACAAAAGAGGAGTCTCACTAGAACTTAAATTCCCACTCTTACAAATGGTAGCCATGAGTTGGGAGGTCAACACATCACTGGTGCTCATTTCTGCTCCTTCAGTACTTTTATTAATGGACAACTGCATCCTCAAGGGTAGATGTTTGATTAAATCATCTTATTTTTTCCCAGCCTTGAAAATCAATACTAGCATGAAGCTTTGTCAAGAAGTATTAATGTTGCAGTTTCATTGGAAATCTTCTCAAAACATAGTTATCTGGAATGATAAAAGTTATTAATTCTCATATAATTAACAATTTTACTGGATTTCTAAGAATTTTATTGGATTTAAGAAAGTAGACCAAAAGTAACTTTTTAACTCTGGGGTTGGGACCATTACAAAAGTAAAGGGAAATCCTGGTTTCCAAAGTAAATGATATACTTCGCCCAGGGATTGATGAAGACCTGGTTCTTCAGCCCCAGAAGAGACCTTGGTTACGTGGATTAAGGCTTCTATCAGCTGTTAGCCACAGGAAGGCTTTTGAGAGCTGTGCACAGCAAACTCCAGTCTATAACTGGAAACACTTATTGGTGTGACATAGGGTTCCTTCTGGCAAGATCTCACTGAACTTTTAACTCTATTCATGCAGTTTCTCCTCTACTGCAAGTAACTGCAAAACCTCTTATACCTAGAAAAAGGAAACAACTTTCCTGTTTGACATTGCTACAAGGTGAGATATGTGAAACATTAACCATAAAAAAAAAAAGAAACAACTTGATTGGAATGTCATTCCTTTCTTCTGTCAGACATGGCTGGCTAGTAATGTGTAGCTGCTTTAGAGAGTTAAAGTGTAAGGAAACAACAGCAAACTGGTTTTGATGCAAATCATAAGTTGGACCAAAAAAATCAGTGACATGCAAATAAGAATGTAATTGGAAAATCATGAGGCTTTAACAGAAATGTTCTCCAAGAGTGTGATGAACTTCAAGCCAAAGAAACTTTCCAGCTTACAGGGCCAAAATAATTGGGTTGCATCCCAAATGTGGGCAGATTATTCCTTTGTCATAAACTGATATAAGATGCCAAAAAAGAGCATTAGTTAAAAAGACTCTATTTATGTTTCTTAGTTAGAAGTTTACCTGCCAGTGATTAAAAAAAGAAGTGTTAGGCTACAGCAGCATAGGGGATATAATACAAAAAGTAAATAATGCAATTTGTCATTTTAGAATCGTATGTGACATATTAGGAAAAAAAATGCATTAAAGTTCTGCAGTGTGACAGTGTAATTTTTCTTTTTGCTAATTTCCTTTAAGTGATAGTCCTCGCAGAGAGTTCCAGAAAGTTCACATGAATGCTTTTGTTTTGCAGATCACTCTTAGCATCCCTAACATTAGTGCATTAGTGGTAGTTTGGGGGTTTTCTTCTTTCAATTTCTTTCCAAGATGATGCACTACTTGTAATATTTTACTGATAGAACTAACAGTTTGCCTTTTTTCTGACTTTTAACCTTCCCTGTAGGAGAAGACTATGGATCTATGGAATACTTAGTGCTGGTGATCTAAGAAGCAGACCTTGAACTGCTCAGTTTTCATCAGCTATA